CATGGGGTCGCAAAGGGTTGGACAGGACTGAGTGATTTTCACTTTCACTTTCCTGCACTCTAAAGAGCAGCCTCTGTATTTCTCTTTAAAAGATGCCTGGGACTCTTTAATGTTGATGCCCCCAAACTTTTAAACCTGTGTACTCCAGGAGATTCAAAGGCTGTGTCTCTGCTGGGATGAGAGGATGGTTAACACGCTGGCATGTGCCGGAAACACCCTGAACTGTGGGGCTTGGAGCTGCTTACTTGTGCATCTGCTTAATGACAGATGCTCAACCAGTTCTCCATGGACCACTCCAGGTTTTCAAACTTCTCCACCTCTCTTAGACCTTATGTAATCACTGGGAAGACTTGATCACCAAAGATATGGAGATGCAGCCATTGCACTCTGCTCGCAGAGCCTGGTCTCTGCAGGCTGAGGCAGGAGACGATTTGCACCAGTGGCAGAGGTGGCAGCCAGCCTTCCCCTCAAAGAGACCTCCTGGGAAATGAGAAATCCTCCAGGCTGGCCAGCAAGAGAGTGTTAGTTGCAGGATTAATAAATTGCTCCTATGTTTCCATATCCTCCACTGTTTACTCCGAGATGACACCCGTGTGAAAATGCTAGGCACCGCAACCATGCATGCTGACAACCTAACTGGTGGAAATCCCACAGGCTCTTGGGGTCCTCAGGATTAATACTCCTGATTTCAATTAAAGGAGAGAAACCCCAAGAGTTCATAACTTGACCTGTAACTTTGCTGAGGCATTACTGTGTTTTGTATATCCCCTAAGGCTGGAGAGCAGATGATACTCAGCTGATGAACAAACACTGGCCAACCTCCATCATCTAAACCTGATGCAGCTTTATGGCGCTGTACCAAGTCTCACACACAGACAACAGTAATATCATCAAGTCACAAAGACATTTCTTAAAAAAAAAAAGCTGAGTAAAATAGAGCTATATTTTCGTGGCAATGGGAGAAGAAAGAACAGAAATAAAAGAGTGATTAAGTCATGGTGAGAACACTAGTTTTGATTAAGCAAAGGATGGACTGTCAGATTAAACAATGGCTTAGATTTAAGATGACTAAGAACAAGAGTATCCTACATGACCTAAGTAAAAATAGGAAATAGAGATTTTATGACTTTTAATAGGACTACAGGTCTCACAAAACTGGACATGATATGAAGAATTAATCACAGAAGGTCTTTCAGGAGGACTGAAATTTCTCAGTTAAATTTTAATGTATGAAGACAATAACAGTGTCTAACTTATTCATCATTGCACGCCTAATACTTTGGATAAATTCTGGGCACACGATGGGTGCTCAATAAATACACGCTGAAATCAGTTCTATGCTTCAGAGGTAGAGGTAAACTTGGGACATATTTCTTCTAAGACCATGGCACTATGTCTTGAATGGTTCCTATTTATAAATTGGAACTATTTTCTGCATTTTCCCATGAACAAAGCAAACAAAGGTGCTAGCCCAAATGTACCTTTCACCAGAGGCAAAAACAACTACCAAAGGAGGCCTACAGTGTCAAAGATCCACTAAAGGAAGGTGGATGTCTTGCTCTCGCCAAGGAATTCATCTGTGTTTATTTTAATGAAGGGTAGGAAAAAAGTGTCAGTGGCTGAGTCATGTCTCTTTGCGACCCCCTGGACTGTAGGCCACCAAGTCCCTCTGTCCATGGTATTCTCCAGGCAGGACTATTGGCATGGGTTGCCATTCCTTCTCCAGGGGATCTTTCCGACCCTGGGATCAAACTCAGGTCTACTGCAATGTGGGCAGATTCTTTATATCAGAGCAATCTGGGAAGTCCAGGAAGGGTAGGAGGGCATTTGCAATGATCATTGCAGGACCTAGAATTTAAGCTTAGGGAACTGTGAAAGGCAGTCTTAGATTCAAAATAATTTAAGGTTAGGAATCTCATCTACCTGAAATTTATATTTAAATAGAAAACACCAAAATGATGGCAGAATCTACCCAATTCAGAAAGAAAACAAAAAGAAGTCTCACTGTTAGTTAGCAATATCACATATGAAAAAATTGGATACATTTTTATTAATCTAAAGAAGGCTTTAAAAAATATACCCAGATGGAAATAACTGAAAACTCTCTTGACCAAAAAAAAGTTAAGATCAAATGGAAATTCTAATGTAACGCTTACTGGAAACGTTTTAAATTTCTGTCTGAGTCTTTTCTTGCTGCCTAGGAATTGGAATAAATCAGGCTTTTAAAATCACAATAAGGAATCACATGAAAAGTCAGTTGTAAGGTATCACTTTGACAGTTTTTGATAGACAAAAAATCAACTACAAGAATAAATCATAATTTATTTGATCAATCTTTTACTTAATGAGCTTTAGGTTATTCCAGTGTTTAGTGGTATAGATGGTGCTTTAATGAACATGTTTCTCTGTACACAGGGGTGAGTATATCTGAAGTTCAGTGGAACTGTTCCCAGTTGTGAGAAAGAATGAAGCAATGTAGAAAAAGTTTCGGAATTGTGTTAGTTGAAAATAGTGCTTAAGTAGGTCCCATTTATTTTTGTTTTTATTTCCATTATTCTGAGAGATGGATCAAAAAAAAAAATTATTGCGATGTCAGAGACTGTTCTGCCTATGTTTTCCTCTAGGAGTTTTATAGTGTCCAGTCTCATATTTAGGCCTTTCATGTATTTTGGGCTTATTTTTGTGTATGGTGTTAAAGAATGATCTTTAAAAAGTTTCATTTTTAACATGCAGCTGTCCAGTTTTCCCAGCACCATTTATTGAAGAGACTGTCCTTCCAACATTGGGTAGTCTTGCCTCCTCTGTCATAGATTGATTGACCACAGGTGCATGGGTTTATTTCTGGGTTTTCTACCCTGTTCCATTGATTTGTATTTTTATTTTTGCACCAGCACCACACTGTTTTGATGACTGTGGCTTTGTAGTACAGCCTGAAGCCAGGAGCCTGACTCCTCCAGCTCCACTTTTCCTTCTCAAGATTGCTGTGGCTGTTCAGCGTCTTTTGTGTCACCATACAAATTCTAAACTCAAAAGCTTTTGTAGAGCAAAGGAGCAATAAACAAAATGGAAAGACAAGCCACAGATCGGGAGAAAATATTTGCAAATGATGTGACTGACAAGGGATTAGTCTCTAAAATTTACAAAGAGCTCATCGCACTTAACAGCATCAAAACAACCCAATCAAAAATGGGCAGAAGTCCTAAACAGACATTTCTCCAAAGAAGACAAACATATGACCAAGAGATACATGAAAAGATGTTAAACACTGCTAATTATTAGAGAAATGCAAAATCAAAACTACCTTACACCAGCCAGAATGGCCATCATCAAAAAATCCACAAATAATAAATGCTGGTGAGGGTATGAAGAAAAGAGAACCCCCTTCCACTGCTGGTGGAAATGTACACTGGTAAAGCCACTATGGAGAACAGAATGCAGGTTCCTTAAAAAACTAAAACTGAGCTACCACATGACCCTGCAGTCCCACTCCCCAGCATGCATCTGGAGGAAAACATGATCCAGAAAGAAACGTACACCCCAAAGTTCACTGCAATGCTATTTACAACAGCCAAGACATGGAAGAAACCTATATGTCCTTCGACAGAGGAATGGATAAAGACGTTATGGTACATATACACAATGGAATGTTACTCAGCCATTGAAAAGAATGAAAGAATGCCATATGCAGCAACATGGATGGACCAAGAGAGTGTCATATGGAGTGAAGTGTCAGAGAGAGGAGGAGAAATATCACCTGAATTTCTTAGACGTGGAATCTAAAAAGAAATGATACAAATGAACTTACTTAGAAAACAAAAGACTTACAGACTTAGGAAACGAACTTATGGCTGTCAGAGGTAAGGGATAGTTAGGGAGCCTGGGATGGACATGTACACACTGCTATATTTAAAACGGATAACCAACAAGGATATACTGTATAGCACATGGAACTCTGCTCAATGTTATGTGGCAGCCTGGATGGGAGGGGAGTGTGGGGGAGAATGGATAAATGCATATGTACGGCTGAGGCCCTCTGCTGTTCACCTGAAACTATCACAACACTGTTAATCAGCTATACCCCAATATAAAATAAAGTTTAAAATTTTAAAAAAAAAGGAAGAAAACAGGTGCTGAATGGGGCTTAAAAAGTATATTTCCAGCTAAATAAAAAAGGGAGAGAAGAGATAGACAGACATATTTTTCTCTCCTATCAGAGTAACAAAAATCCAGTAGTATGAAAATACCTCTGTTGGGCAAGCTTTGGCAAAGTTACTGAAACTAAATATGTATATATGTCAATACATATGTATTATTACATCTACATATGTATATTAAATATACATACTTATGAGAACTGTGTGCAAACTTACTTACGTAAAAGATTATTAATGGTTGTGTTGTACATGATACAAAAAGTAAAAACAACATGAAGGCCCTACAGTAGGGAACTGATTTAAATAACATATTCAGGACTTCCCTGGTAGTACAGTGGATAAGAATCCACCTGCCGATGTAAAGGTCACAAGTTCAATTCTGGTCCAGGAAAATTCCACATGCCTCGGAGCAACTACGCCCGTGCGCCAAGACTAGCAGAGCCTGCACTCTCTAGGGCCCCACAAGCCACAACTACCGAGCCCACAGGCTGTGATTACTGAAGCCTGCATGCCCAGAGCCTGTGCTCCACAATGAGAGGTCATCACAATGAGAAGCCTGCACGCCAGAATAAAGAGTAGCCCTCACTCACCACAACTAAAAAAGCCTAAACACAGCAATGAAGATCAAGCACAACCAAAAGTAAATAAATAACATATTCATAGTAAGGAATATGATGCAGTTATAAAAAAAAACAACTAAGCTCTCTACACACCAATATGGAAAGATCGCCAAAGCACAAACTTTAAAAGCAAGATACAGAACATTATATACAGTACTTATGACCTTCCACTATTAAAAGGGGATGTGAAACAAGAATATACAGTCAAATGAAATGAAAAACTTACTTGTAGAGGTAATACTCTGCATGGTCTATCTCTTCTCGAGATGAAATGTTGTCCACAAACTGAAAGACGGAAAAAGGTATTGAGCCTAAGTCACATACTGACCTTAAAAATAAACCAGTCATTTTATTAGGACAGGGTTCACGCAGTGTAGCTCCACCCTTCATACCACTTTATGCTAATACCAACAAAGAATCTACAGTGGCCCCTCTTTTTCTATACATAGAACCACCTTGGTTAGAAAAACTGAAAACTACACACGAACCCCGCTCCAAAGAAGAAAGGGCTCTGCTTCCTCTATAATTAATCACTCATATTTTCCTTTATCTTTAAATATTGATACTTTCTCTGTTTTCCAAACTCCAAATACATGGAAACACAACAGTTCAGAAGATGAAGACTCTAATGGCTGAAAAAACATGACCCAAAAGACGAAAATCTAAATTTAGAGAACTTGATTTTATATCCATTTTTCCTATCTGATTTGGTCTGCTACGGACCAGTCAACTTGCTACTGTCTACCAACCAAGTCTCCTTTTGACCCACAAAATACCCCAGTGTGTTCCTTAACTCTAAACCTGAGAAACAGAAAAGACTCTTCTGGGGATGAATTCTGCTCTAAACTGAAGACTCAGAGGCAAAAAGGATGAAGTAGGAAATAATGGATGTAGTGAATAAAGTTAAGACTTCAGGAGGACGGAGAGGAGAGTAGACGGGAGACTTCTGGGTCCTCTTTGGAGGACTTAGTAGATTTGATTTAGAAATCTTATTAAGGGGCAGATAAAATATGGTTCAAACACAGGACCCAAGATTGAAAACTAGTTCTCCTGACTGCATGCTGTGTGGCATAAACAGATGACACAACTTAGCTGCTCATCTGCATAAACAGGATAAAGGCACCTGAACTGAAAGTATGAAGCTCCAACAAGAAAATGTATGTGAAAGCTCTTACATCACAGTTCTTTGAACTTTGAAGTGCTGCCTAAGCAAACACCAGGCACATGGCTACAGAGGTTTTACCCGTCACATAAGGGATGAGCCAGGGGTCTTTCAGCTCCTCTCCAATACGAAAATTACAAGGTCATGATCAAGCTGAACAGTTTGATATTTTCCCACTAAAAGCAGAAAAAAAGCACTGAGACTAAAAGGGATGATGGTTTCATTTTTCCTCTCCTGGATTTAACAGTCTTTTCAATTTTATGGTGCCATTGATTTCTACAAAGAGTTTTCACAACTAAGATCTCAATTTAGCATCACATAAGCCTTGTGAGGAAGACACTACTATCTCCATACTGAATGAGGAAATTGAGAGAGGGCCCAGTTGCCCAATGTCACAAAGGAAATTCATGAAGACAAGATGAGGTCTATTTCTGGGAGGCAACAGAAAAGAACTCTGATGCCACAGAGATCTGGGTTTAAAGCCCAATTTTTCCACCTATGAACTATGTAAAATTGGGAAAGACATCAACCATTCTGAGTCTTACATGCAAAATGGAGATAACAAGGCTTATCTCATATGGCTGCTATGAGAATAGTGAGATAACGTTAAGAAACCAGTACAACGGCTGGCATAGAAGCTCATCAGTAATGGTCAATGGATCAATTTCTATTCTTGATTCCTAGTCTAAGATCATTCTCCCATCTAATGCTCTGTAGCAGCCTAAAATTAAGTCTTTTACAGACTTTCTCAACTACCAAATGTACTTCCAATATTAACAAATGAATACTACCACTTTAAAAAGTATATCAACTTTGAAAAAAATGATGGCATCATATCACATCCTGGAAAATTAAGTTAGATAAACAACACTGATCACTGACATCAGAGTCTGATAAATTTATTACCTTTTGTTCCTGTCAAAGAAATTTACTACTTCATCATAAAATATCTATTAGTAATTATAAAAACATATGATACTCTGGAAAAATATTTCCTATAAAAGATGGTCTTTATTTACACAGCCTCATCTATATGAATAGTCTTTCTTGCTTGCTTTCTCCTTCTTCCTTGAAAATATAAGTATGTTTTCTTACCCGTGATATTGTTAAAGAACTAACAGGCAGCTTTCTCTCATACGTTTTATCCATCAAAGATGCTAGATCAGCTGTGAAGACAAAGAAGCAAAAAGAACCTTGTTAACTATACATATTTCTAAAGAAAAATCTAACAGATGCAGCTCCTGCCAGATGGCTGTCAACATTATGAAGTCAGTATTAAAAGGGATGCTCTTTTAAAAAATTATTAATAAAGAGAATAGAGAAATATTAGTATAATTTTTTTTAAAGTATTTACTTGATTGGAGAAAGGATTGTTTAAAAAACCCCAGCATAGATTTAGCTTTTTAAAAATGGACCTGTAAAATATCTCTGGAAGAAGACACAAGAAAGTGTTATTATTGACAGACTCCAGGGAAAGGAATTAGATGGTAGTGGCCAAGAAAAGGAGATTCTTCAATGCTTACACATTCGTTCCTTCTGCATTTTGAACCAGATAAACAAACTGATATTAGCTGTTCAAAAATGTTTTCAGTTGGAACTTATGAAATTACTTTTACACATCCCTTGGACAAATCAGACGGCAAGGCACTCTGGCTACAATGAGTGATTTTCAGCCTCAACTATTCCTATTTTGGATCCTTTTACCAGAACATCCATACACATACTTGGTATTCCTAAGATTACACTGTTATCTCAGAGTCCAAAAAGATCTAGAATAACAGGCAACACAGTCTCCAAAATAATTACTTCATGCCTTCTCACTGCTTCTAGAACTTACAATCCGTGTGCTCCTTCCCCTTCTCCTCTACCTGAGCCCACAGCTTGTGTCTTACTTCCCTACATATAAAACAAAAGCCATCTCGGGCACCCTATCCTATCAGGTCTACCAGGCTACCAGCATCTGTGTCCACAGACTCTGCCTCCATTTTTTTTTTCTTTTCCTAAACAAAGGATGTAGTTCATTAAACAAACAAAAACCAAAAACGGCCAACATTCCCTGTGACCCTCTCCTCTCTTTCCCGCTCTTTCTCGGCCCCGCGTCCAAGGAGCCTCCCCAATGCCACTGTCACCACTTCCCTAGTGCCAGCCTCTCGGACCCACTGAAGTCAGACTGGGTTCCTCACTCTGCTGACACCAAAGTGCACCTCCACTTTGTTAAATCCAGTGGTTAATTCTTCATCCTCATCTTACCTCACCTTTCTCTGACAATAGTTGAGCATTCTGTCCTTCATGAAACGTTCTTTTTCTCTTTCCTGGGTTCCTTTGCAGGATCTCCTCCTCTTGACTTCTTGATGCTGACGTGCCCTGAGGAGCAGACTCCACCATCTGCTCACTCCATGGGTATCTCATTCTCTCCCTCCACATAGCTTTAATCATCATCTACAGACTCCTGACTGAACACGTATATGCCGACCCTGACTTCTGCCTGTAACTCCAGACTTTTACTTCCAACTGCATAGGTGACATTTCCGTGTGGTATCTTAACATTGCTTGTCTTCTTAAATCTCCAACCTTCCACTCCAAACCTGCTTTCCTCCAAGCCTTTCCCATCTCATTAAATGGCTGCATGTTAACTGGCTTATTCAGGCCAAAAACTAAGGCATCACTGTTGATTCCACTCTTTTTCATACTCTGCAACCATGTAACAGCAAATCATATAAGCGCTAGATCTGAAATTTATATGTGTCACCATTACCACAGCTAACCTCTCACCTCCTGACTAGTCTCCTTTACTGTCCCCACACCTACAACCTCATCTCCACAGAGCAGTCTGACTGAGCCTCTTAAAAGATAAGCCAGATCCTGTTATTTTCTTGTCTCAGCCAGCCAACAGTTTCCTATCACACTTGGAATAAAATCCAGAGGGGCTTCCCTGGTGGCCCAGTGGCTAAGAGTCCATGCTCCCAATGGAGGGGGCCTGGGTTCAACCCCTGGTCAGGGAAACAGACCCACATGCTGCAACTAAGAATGCACAAGCTACAACTAAAGATCCCACACGCTGCAACCAAAAAGATTCCAAGTGCCGCAAATAGGACCTGTCACAGCCAAACAGATGAATATTAAAGCAAAATAATAAAATAAAATCCAGAATATTTTCTATGGTCTACAAATGCACACACACACTGGTCTATGTTTGTTGTTGGTGGGTTTTTTTTAGTTTGTTTTTTTTTCTGTCTTTTATACTTAGAAGTAAAAACCATGAAGGCTAGGACTTATAATTCACTGACATAGTCTCAGTTCCTGCAAGAGTTCTATGAAAGGCACTCAATATATCTAAGTAAATAAATAAAAGGAATGAAGCAAGGGAGTAAGAAAGGGAGGAGAGAGAGGAAGAAAACAGAAGTAGTTATGCCCTGGTGCTCCATGGGACTGGTCTCAGCCCCACTGCAGACACCAAAATGCGCAGACGCTCAAGCCAAGCAGCGTCTCTCTGCATCCAATGGCTCACCCAGCAGCATCGTGTGAGCTACACTGAAAACAGTCCGCGCGGACGTGAATCTGCGCAGTTCAAACCCGTGCTGTTCAAGTCAACTATAAAACTTGGACTTTCAAGTATTTTTTTCCTCCCTGGTGAAAGAAATTAATATCAAGCAAAAAGGCACCAGGGAATCAATTGCTAAGTATCTGTTGAAGACCTATTGCTGTGCACTTACTCAATATTTTTCTCTTTTTCTTCCCCTGGGGTAATGCTCTCAGTGACTCTAGCTACTAGGGGAAAGAACTGCAAAACCTCTAACACCTGATATGATGTAAGAAGTTACTAATTTTTCTTATGACTACCTTAAAGGGGTTGATACCATGTGATTTAAAAATTTTAAAACACAAATATACACATACAAAGAAGTCCCTAAAACCTCTTTACACTAAGGCAAATTAATATTGTTAAATCTAACTGTTCACAGAATAACATTAAACAGCATTCCTAAGACACCAAATCTTTATGATCTCTTCATAATCAAGGCTCTTATGTTGAGATGATAGGCAATATAAAGAATCAACTCCCTTTACTCAAAATTTAAATTTTAACCAAAAAAACGCAAGATTTGGATCTACTAGCCGAATTAAAATGACCTCCATTTCTTTGTGGGTTTCATATAATGCACAGTATGTAGCTAAATATCTGGACTGAGTTGGCTTCTTTAGTGTAGAGTCAAGATTCCACTTTAACCTTTTACACCAAGATATCTTCAGTCAAGTGAAATCAACTGGGGCCTCAAAAAAGGCAACAGCTGTAGAGCCAGCATCTGATGAATAATATTTGCATACTATAAGTCACAGAAAGGTTTACTGCTAAATATAATAAGCACCAATCACCTCACATGATAGCAGTGGCATGATGAACGAAGCGGAAAACCGCACCGAACAGGGATGGCCACAAAAGCTGGGGCAGCTGCGGCCTGCAGCAGGCCAGCGCCACAGGCTTCTGGACCGTGGGCTCGGCAGTCACAGTCACACGTCACATTTCAGCGAGGGGCCAGCAGCTGCCCGGGTTTTATTCAAAGGGCTGTGCCATAGAAGATGCCTTCTTGCCTGTCACTCATCTCCTTAGGAACACACACTGCAGTGGGTGGTTGAGGTCAACAAAGACTCTAAAGGAAAATGGGCCTAAAATTTGAATCCTTCATTTAACAAAACTTAAAGCTGCATAGACAATGGGGAAATATGTCCAGAAAATGAAGTGTATGTTAGTATGAAAATGTTCTTTTTGTTTGAAGGAAAAAAAATCGCTGATCTAAGGACATAAAGGATTTTATTGAGGACCCCCACACTATTCGAAGTATAATCCTGGTTAAGGATTTGAAACCCTGAGAGGCTTTAAGACTTTAAAATGTCAGATTCCTAGGCTTCACACCCAGAGGGCAACTCTAATTCCATAGGTTTGAGGTGAGACCATGGAAACACAAATTTTTAAACAAAAGCCCCAGGAGATTGTGAGGTAGCCTGGCAAGCACTTAAGTAAGTTAGTTTGAGAGCTACCATGGAGGGAACACAAAACAAGTCTCGGATGTTGCTGCTAAGTTTGAAGATAGTATTAAACTCAATTCCATCTCAGCAATAAGGTGGACTGAATAGCTTTTTAAAAAAGTCTCCCTACTATAAAAATAAAACATCTAAATAAAATGTTTAGAAAAACTGTCAAATATACGACTGAGGTTTCAAGAAGATAGGTCTAATCATCAGAGGCTAAAGGCAAGACGGAAGCACAAACCTTGCGTGTTTAAGGGACTACTGACGGCAGCGGTCATCTGAGAGCATCTGCAGGTCCCAGTGACACAGAGCTGTGGTTTCAATGACTTTCAGGGGACGGGACAGAACCAAGGCCTCTGTAAGGTGGGAAGCTGTTTCACAGATCATCAGGTAAAGCCAGGACTGCCTAGGGTTATACCTGCAGTGAAGGTGAAATGGAAAGTAATGGACTCCGCAAAGGGAAACAGCGTAAGCCACGAAGTCAGCCTCACATCTCTGAGGCCCTAATCCACACTTCCTATGTCATATGAGATACACCAACTTGAGAATTGTGGTTTAAAAAGTTGATTTACTACACAAAATTATAGAAAATACATACTAACCTATGATAACAAAGAATACCAGCGGTTTCCTGGGAAGGTGGGCAGGAAGAGCAGAAAGGACTACAAAGGAGGAGAGAATGTGGGGGCGGGGTGACAAGCATGCTTATCATCCTGACTGTAGTGATGATTTCACGGACAGACACACACACACATATGTCAAAGCTCGTCAAAATGCACACTTTGAGTATGTGTGGTATATTCTATGTAAATAACATGTTGACAAAGTTGTAAAAAAGAAATTCAGTAAGTTAAACAGCAGATTAGATACAAGTGAGGTGAGAATTACCAACCTGAAAGATCTAAAAGGAATTACAAGACAGAAGATTGCAGCAGAGATAAATAAAAATGACAAGTATAAAAAGGGCATTAAGAGATATAGAAAATAGAATGTGCTGTGCTTAGTCACTCAGCTGTGTCTGATTTGTGACCCCATGGACTGTAGCCCGCCAGGCTCCTCTGTCCACAGGGATTCTCCAGGCAAGAATACTGGAGTGGGTTGCCATGCCCTCCTCCAGGGGATCTTCCCAACCCCAGGA